GAATAAGTGAAAATATGTAAGCTAACACATTTGTTTTTGAAAACATATGTTGATATTCACATACACTATTAATTGTTAGCATACATAAGTAAACGTTCTGATTCCTCTACAATTTTTACAGTTTTTTATGTCAGATGATGCACGAAGTACTAAAAAAATACTAATTACACAATAATAACGACAAGTGATCAAAGAGCGTGATTGAAATTTAATGTTGAACAACAGTAGCCTATCCACGAGCTATCTCAATGTAATCTCTTCAACAACCCTACTTCCTATAAAAATTAAGCCACAGAAGCTTCTGTGGCTTAACTTGTATAGGAATATTCATTAACATGAATACTACCTTTATGTAAAAACACTATTATCAGCCTTAGTGACCTTGTCCTTTAATTTGTACAACGCGCAATATCCCAAGTCCAATATCTTTGTGACTAACGATTGGCTTCTTTCTCTACGCCTTTTGTTGCTTCTAATGATTTAAATTTTTTCATAATCTGACATTCATTCAACTTTTTACATACTTTTATGGACTGACTGGTTTCTTTGTTCTCACTTATTGTTGTTTGTGGACGGTTTCATGTATTCAGTCTTTTCCAAAGGCTTATACACCAGCCAATCAACTGCACTGATTCTAGTCAGCTTAGAGGGCATTCGAGTATTCATACATCTCAAATTTTGAGCGAACCTCTGTATACTAGTAGCTGTTCGTATTGTCGTGTTTTGTCAGACCACAGAATAAGGATTATTTCTTCAAAGAGAATAATCCTGTGTTTTCAGTCTTAGGTCTTCAGTAATAAGGATAGTAAGTTGGTGAACCTGTGTTAATCCTGACAGATTGCCTACCAGTGACTCCTTGAAGACATTCACCGATGGGGCTGATACCACTTGTTCGGGTAAGGCGTTCCAATCATTGACTACTCGATGAGAAAAACGGGACCCCACTTTAAGTTTATTAGACCGTGGTTTATGAACCTTCTTTCTATGACCTCGGAGATTATTAGTGCTGGAGGAGCAAAAAGATAAGACATATTAACACCCAAATCATAATTAAAGATACGAAATGCCAGCATAAGGTCATCTCGCGTCCTACGATACGACAAGGGGAAAAGGTTTAGGCGTTTTAAACGCTCATCGTAAGGGAGTCTAGAAAAACCCTTCACTAATTTCGTTCCCACACGCTGGACACGCTCAAGTGAGTTAGTATCCTTTACCAGACATTGGCTAGCTGCTTTAATACAGTACTCTAAATGTAGTCTTACGTAGGTGCGAAACATTTCTCCGTCAAAAGATTTGAACCGTCGACGAAGTGACCATAACGCACGAAAACCTATGACAGCGGCTGCGCTGCTATGCGTACTTGTTTTTAAATCATGACTTAATACTACTCCTAAGTCCTTATGCTCTTGAACGCATGGAAGAGGTTTACCATCAATAGTATAATGGTAACTATTACCATGACCGATGTGCATTAGCACACTCCTCCTAGGATTGATTTATAAACCTCAACCTCGAGCCCGTCTAACTAAATCGTCTAAGTCAGCTTGAAGACCCAGGTGATCAGCCTCACTTTTTATTGTCCTCCAGATTTTTACGTCATCCGCAACAACAATGTCGACGACCTAATCAACAGCGGTAACTCGTTAACGTAGAGAAGGAAGAGCAGAGGGCCAAGATGGTGTCTTAGGGTACACCACATTTGAACGGCTTCCAATCGGGTAGCGTCCCATTGACCCACACTCTCTGTCTGCGGTCATATAAGAAGTTGCCTTTCCACTCCTGTACAGTACCTATTATTCCGAAGCTCGTAAACTTCTGCATAAGACCTAAGTGTGAAACCTTGTCAATGCTTTGCTAAAATCTATGAATATCACATCGACAGACAGGCCTTTATCTAAAGCAGCTATCCAATCCTCTCTCTCAATAAGTAAGTTGGTGAATCATGAACGCTTGTTACGAAATCCATGTTGCTCAGGAGCAAACAGATAGTGTGAATCTATGTAGCTTAGCAACCTAACCCGAATTATATTTTCAAGTAACTTAACGACAATGTTACGTAGACTGACAGGCCGGTAGTTAGATACGATCTGTTTCTGATCATCCTTAATATAGGACTGACTATAGCGTCCTTCCAATCTCTAGGGAGTTGAGCGAGTGAAAGGGACATGTTGAAGAGTGTCGCAAGTGGTTTTGAAATAATGCCCTCAAAAGATGACAGCAGCCATGGATTCAACCCGTCAAGGGCCAGTACCTTACAAGGTTTGAGGTTAGTTACCAACGAAAGGACAGTTTCTTCAGTCACCTGTACAGATTCAATGGCTGGTATGTCGGTGTGAGTGAAACAAGTATTTGTTACAATAAAAGTAGAGTAGACTTCGTTAAAATAGTTTGAAAAAGTCTCAGCTTTTGTCCGGTCTGATCCAGCTAGTAAATCTGAATTTTCGTGTAACAGTAATGGGGGAACACCATCACGACGTTTCAGTCGCCACTTAACATGCGAAAACAATCGTTTCGGACAAGTACGGCTATCATATACTAACTGTCGTTCGTAAGTTGTACGGGATTCAGCTGTGGTTTTCTCACAAATATTCCGGAATTTTCGGTACCCACGCTTAAATAATGCATGACATGTTAACAAGAATAAGTCCCAGGAGTGTTTCCTACGCTTTAACAGCTTCCGGGTTCCCTTAATAATCTATGGAGGGCAATGTGATGGCTTACTTGTTGACCATGGGATAAACGGCGACGTTACGGACTCGAATGCAGCCTTAAACTTATTGCATTCGTCTTCGATCAATCCATCCGCGTCGACCGACAAATCAGTCGAGATAGCGCAGTTTCTGATTGCCAGAATATTGGCTCGCCAGATACTGGGACGAGGTGGAGCAGATACAAATCGTATACCACGTGTCCTAAACTTAAAGTGAAGCACAAAGTGATCACTGTTCACTGGTGGGGTAAGGTGCTGAATATCAGAGACATCCTCACAGTGGTGGGTGAGGACGAGGTCCAGTAGTGACGGATCATGTTGCGAATCAAGATGTCGGTTTTGTGATACATTGTACAAGTGCACACTGAATAACGTTTGATAAAAGGTCGTTATCAAAACCTCCACCTGGAGCTGTAAGCTCTATCCAGTTGATATGCGGTGCATTGACGTCCCCAGTGATGAGACAACAATCTTCCATACTCGAAGAACAGATGTGTCTCGAGATAAAATCGTCAACACAGACTACGGTATATTCCCCCTATAGTCACTAGACCCTTTCTATATTTAATCTTACAACATGCTACCTCACACGTACCACTAACATGAGCCTCCGATATGATTGATTGTATACGAAAGTGATCCCTAACGTGTAATTTTATGCCTCACCCCTTGCGACTTAAAACTCTATCACTTCTAATACAGATATAGCCTGCGATGATGGGAGAACATTCCATATCTACTGTGAACCAAGTTCCTGTAACAACAATTACATCGCGACTTAATTCGTCCACCATCAAACTTAGCTCAGACGTTTTATTTCTAAGACTACGGGCGTTTGTGTAGCACACTGTAAGATTCACTGTTTAGCGCAACACACGCCTATATACATGTTTCTTAGTTACGCTTGATAGATTTTTGTTCTTTTTTACAGAGAAAGCATAAAAACTTTGTGCACTTGAATATGATACAGTGAGTACGTTTTGAATGGTTGCCAAAATCAGTTACATGAGCTTCATCATCTGCGAAGCCACGCTTTATAATTTTTGTAACAATTGTGAATTTTGAGATTATCAAATGTTGCTTTGAACAATGGCATTGTATCTATCTGTTGATACGAATTGAGAGCTACAGTCAGAATCCTTCTGAAAAGCCTTCTATTTGAGTCAGGTATTTTTTCAGCATCTCCTGTTTCCAAGTGTATATTTTTCATGAGTAATGCGTAGCGTGGCATTTAATGTTCGTGTAGTCCGATCCAATGTAGATAAGTTAGGGAACGTTGGCATGGCTCTCAGTTACTTAGTTTGGTCCCGTGCATTGAAGCAACACTAGCATGAATCTCTCAATTCGAATGTTTGGGTGCTGTGTTGTATTAGGTTTTCGAAGTGATCACCAATTGTTTTGCAGACCCCATGGCATTGAAATGTGACATGCCTCGGAAGCTCACTTAGTTTTGAGATTCAGGGAGATTACAATGTTTCACTCAGGACGTTAGCCTTCACATCTAACTGAGTACTATCTCGGAATACCTGACGTAGTCGGCTCTCAACAACTTACTAACAATTACGTACCCAAAAGTCAATAACTCCGACGATGTCGAATACAATTTAGTGGCAGTCTTTATGCGCATTATCTGTTTCACGATTACTGTCATTCACGTCAAGCAAATCCTGACCACACTGTCGCACTCATGCTTGGCTAGTCTACTTAGCCACTCTCGAATAAACTGCCAGTCACTTTTCGTCTATATCATACAACCAGTAAGCATAGGACTCAACGGTCCAAAGACGGTAAACGAATCCCTACACCTACTTCACTATGTTGAGGATGTGATTTTGTTTCACACAATTCTGGAGTAATATTTTGTACTGACTTATTTCTGATAGCAACTAGTACTTATGAGTTTTCTGACTTTATTACACGAATTTTATGTAACTAGTCGTAGTTATCATGTTCGACTCTTTATCTATGGTCATTTGTATATCCAATGTTACTGTAACTGCTAAAGATATTATGTCGTTTCCACATAAATCCGACCAGGTACCTAGACCTTGGCTGAACCACTGTAGGATTCGAGTTATGATGGATAGTGAATTTCATTAGCGCACCTCACATATGCATATTGATAATATCAATTGTGCTGTAACTAATTCTGGGAGCAGCTAGAAATACTTGTTTTCGTCTGTTATGATAGAACGTTGAGTAACTCCAGAATCAAAATGAATAGATCCACCTAACTCCTTTTACATATTCAACTAATTATTTCGCAAAGATCTCCTGTTTGACAATATTATTTTGCTCAGTAGCTGTTAAACTGTATTTGTCGTTAACAAAATAATCGAGAGTCTATTAAATAGATAGAAATAGGAATATACAGTCTCAAGAGTTAGAAGAGAGTTGCGTCATGCAAAACCAAAGTTTAAAATTTACAAAAGAAATTTGTTTATATGACGAGTATGAGGAATTGCGAATAATAGATTTCTAGATAAAAAGAATATGACAGTGGTAATAACAAGCATCAGAAAAACTTTTGATGGAGTGATTTACTTTTGTTATTTGAACACAAGCCCTAATAAATGCCAATTACTGATCGCAAAACATCCTTTCTCAAAAAGAGCATGTTACTCGCTGCTAAATGTAAATAAAATAAAGAATACACAGAAGTTATTTTCGAAAAAAAGTACGTTGATTGACATAATGAAAATAGACTTCTTTTTAGACAACACGAACAGAAAATAGAGAAAATCGAGTGGAAATTTTTCTGGTCAAATTAATCCACTTCATGACGATGATTCAACATTACGTGGAGTGGTTTCTGTTAGAGCACGAGCAGGCAGCAACAATGCCGAATATCTAAGGTTCTATTCTCATTTAATTTTTCGATTGGGAGGGCAAAATAAAAGGTAAGAAGAAAAGTACACATAAGTAATTTGATGAAGAAAATATTAGTGCAAAAAACATTTTTTTAAAAATTGCTGTAATGTAAACTGAAGAACATGTAACATATTCACTGAAAGCTGTTATTACGATCGGTCTATAGCTTTTGTAAAAGGCACGACTCAATTATCACATTGAAACCTATCAGTGGAGTGGTGGTTCAGTGGTAAAAGAGACGAGCTTTCAGCCGAGGGTTTCAACCCACACCTACTACTCTGGTTCAGGCAGTCGTGTGACATTAACATCTCCTAAACATCAAGTATTGTTCAAGGCCAAGTAAATGAATCCCTATACCTAGGTTAGCTAACAAACACCAAACAAATGGATGTCAACTATGTTTACATTATCGCCTGGGTTGAAATTAGTAGACCAAGAGTCGAAACCCAAGACTAAATGATACTGATTATCTGTTCCGGGGAATTCCGATTTGGAAAAGTCATTAGATTACTTGCAAATCAGTTAACTAATCTTAGATTTACCTTATTTGCTGGAGAAAAGTTTACACACCGTACGCTAAGTATTCATCATTTTCACTGAGATCCAAGATATTTAACCTTTGCTTCGGTACCTGTTTGGTACGCAATCATTTACATTAATTTCAAGGGAATTATGAACTTGATTAAGGGCGATAGGTATAAAGCCAGTTTTATTTTTGTCCATATTATCAATATATCTTATATTCAAAAGCCAAATTTTTAAGATCAGATTATGGATAGAAAGTTGTTTATTTTCATTATTTCGAAAAGTATAATCGTTGCCCAAGCAAAGTAACCACTTGTTTAAAGAATAAAAAATAATAGACAACAGATAATTCATTATATCGAATTGCAACAAGATGAATCTAATGAGATATTTGTAGTTGTATATTCAAACATATTTGTGATGGAAGGTTATTTTCAAGCGATCCCTAAATAAACATTGAATTTTTAGGCGAATTGCAAGAAACAGATTAATCAGTCAGATTATTCAGGCAAACACCACACATGCTGGAACACAATCAATCATAATATATTCCGTGAATCGCTGTGATAATAAACTGAGAAAATGATTCGGCATGATCAGACGATAACAAGAAACAAGCCCATCATATCATGAATTACTAACAGTATGTGGGCTGTGGAAATCGTTAAAACTCGATGAAATTACGAAGCGACTTAAGTACTACTTTGGGATTCCACAGTAGCGTGTATTTTTCATTCCATTTTTGAACACGTGATTATTATCAGCTTGAGTTTTGCGTAGAAATCTGAGCTACCAATACGAGTCTATGAGAAGTAAGGAGTCAGTGTTCTTAGATAATACTGTTTAAAATCGATTATAGTGATTCAGGTGTATTTACATTTTACTGTTTTTAACTGTCCGATTGTATAAACTGGATTCAAACTGATAATTCCATATATCAACACAGCTGGTAGGTTTGTTTGATATAGGATTCATTAGTTCAGTATCAAAAATTTCACCGCGATTGACCGAAACTGCATTGTATATCGGAGAATGAAGTACTATTAATACCTATTTAATAAATTTGTCACTACTAGTGATGCGAAGGTAGTTTTAAACCAAGGTGAATATTTCTCAACGCTTAGACAATAAATAGTTATGATTTTATTGGTCGCGTATAGTGTAACTTTGTTAGTATCATATATATTTATTCAAACACATAAACATTGGCACAGGGAGGCACCAAATATATATGCGCCATACTTCGTCACTTGATTCTTGTGTGGGTTGGAATACTGCCCGGGTGCCCAGACCGAAGCGGGTGGTTTTCTTAGGAGGCCACTCAACGAGCCTATGACCTAGAGGTCTAATCCATAAGGCAGTGGAGCAATGTTAGGAGATGAAATCCCATGGTAGCCGGTGACCAACAATTGGTTCATATGCCATTTGTTCCCTCAGAATCTTAGAGCCTATGTGCTCCATTGGTTTGGAATCAGGGCATTCCAACCCCACTAGGTGGACCCTCCGTGTCCACCAACCCGGTTAAAGCACCAAATATTCGCTTTTCGTCTTCTCAATTTCTTAAACTGCATCGTGAGAAGGTAGTGAGTAGGACTTCCCTTTCAGTGGCTGTATACGCGTGAATTCGCTAGTATCCAAATAGTACTCAGTTTTCTAACCTGTAAATTTGGCTCGACCATTATCACGTCATAACTATATCAATGAGAATCTACTATCTAATCAATATCTTATTGTGCATGAATAAACTAGGTTGATTTCCCAACCTTCCCCAGGGGAAAAATAAACGCAAAAAAGCTTACTGATTTACGGACAGATCTTAGGAAACCAGCATTGGATGTTATTGTCAGCGCTTCTAATACATTGCCGAATTCCATGATACGCTGGAAAAAATCACAAAGCGTATTTTTGTTTACTAATATAACCTTTAAAAATGAATACTCGAAAGATATACATATACATACATACATATTTTTAATTGAAATAGTGTGAAATCAGTTTTCTTTTAAGAGAATCATTGAACCTAATAGTCTATTGATTAAGTAGTTCGTTGTCTTTTTTAGAAAGTATCTGATCCTATTGGAGTATAACCATTCAAACTTATAACTTGGTGCATTCGATTTTAAGTCACTTAGACTAGTGGATACATTACAATTCGATAGATAGAATACGATCCTTAACACTAAAGGATTAGACAGAGAAGACAGTATTCACTAATCATCCAGTGATCAACTAGTTTTAAATATCTAGGTCATATAGAAGGTCAGTCACTATCCGAATAATTCAGTGATAACATAACACACCACAAAGCTGGGTGGTGCAGGCTCAAGTCCAACACGAAGTATCAACTCCTTGAAAATCACAGGTATATTTCGCAGATGAGTGTCAACTAGCACGAAAACTAGATTGATACAGAGTTTCTTGCCGGTTAACTCCAACCACCTGATGTGTGTGCAATGGAACAATTGAGTAATTCATTTATGTCCAAGTTCACTACGAAAACGAAGCACATGATAGATGAAGGGTGAATTTGAAAACTACCGAACAGAACCACAACTAAGAAAGACTAGCTTAGTGTAGGAAATATCCCAGATACAATGATTTGACTATGTGATATTCAAATACTGATCCACAGGTTTAGAACCCTCTTTTCTAGAGGAAATTAGGTCAAGAAGAAACAGTATTATTAGGATTATTACACAGAAATTTATTTTAGGATCATGCGCGGTTAACCATTAAAATAAATTATTAGGTGGAATACTGAACGAATTATTCGCTGTGACCGAAAAGCAAGAGCAACTTTTAATTATCAAAAAATGGTAAAACAGAGGACAGATATAACAGACTAGTATGTAACAGTTTTATTTTGTTTTTAAGATTTTGAATTATAACTCATCACAAGCCAGTGACTAAATGAACTCAGTAGCTAAGTGGAAAACACGTACGGTATTTCAATTAAAAGGTACTCGGTTCTAAGCCGCTGGGAACATCAACACCCGTATACGGTCGAACCTAGATGACGAGTCTCAAATAGAAAAAGTGACCTACGCTCCATTGCTATGAACAGTTTTTATATTAATTAATTGGATTATAGTTTAATTCCATTTAGTAAGAATCCACTAAACAAGTTCCATCTTTATTATTTACACATGAACCGCGTCGGTCAACATTGACATAAAATCTATCATTTCACACCAGCATAGTGAGAAAAAATTTAAATAATCTGAAGCAAACGGGTGGCAATAAAGTTAGCTGTGATGAAAAGTATGGAATGATAGTAAGCTCAAAATATAGAATGTAGGGAATGAATGTAATTGCTTCAGCTAGACCAGTTTTGGATCATATTACCTAATGTTTTCAATCATACATACAGGACAAAGACTTTATGGAATGACCCCATATTTTAGTCTTTTCCCTCCCATATTTAGATTTTCCTAACTTAATGCTATGTAAACAAACATTTCAAATCGGAGTTATGTGAAAGTCAGGCACTTGGAACGTATTTTCGAACCATTTCAGTCTATGAAGAACGATAGTGTCTCCAATCAACTTCCTACTTTTATTTAGAATACATATATCTCTAGCCTTAGGACTATTCACTTGACGATTCTACCATACGGGTGTTATCACTAATCTTCCCAATTAGAGCGTAGCTAAAGGTTAAGCATACGAATCCGTGCCTGATTAATAATTTAGTAATCGATCTAACATAGTAATAATAAACACTTAATATTATAAAAAACCTTATCAGTTCAATACGGTGGGTTGGATGTTGAATAAAGTCGGTAGAGAGATAATTTGTAAATTCTTAAAAACCAATCATAAAGGAAGGAGAGTATGAAAGAAAGTTGTAACGAAAATGGAACATAGAAAACTACTGGATTCCGAGTCAATGTATTTTAAGCGTTATGTACTTGCCGCAAGAGAAGAACAACTGGTGGTTTCGACTGCATGTAAAAATCTTATGTGCACACTGCTAAGGAGTTTAAATCCAGGATAATACAGTTCTCTACCAACAAACAGTACAGGTTTCAATATTTCAATCAATCAGTCATGGTTTGCCACTAGATGGATAACAGTTTGTGATGAAAATGAATTTGTAAATCAAATTTTACATGATGAGTATGGTCTGAAATTCATTCATTTCTAATCATGTATACCACCAATCATTCTAAAAATATTAATACGTTTTTTTAAAGAAAAGGGTTTACATTGTCATCAATACATTGTAACCAATCTTATTCCGAACTTTCTTAAAATCTTTTTCTTTAAACTTACTACCATGCATTTTAATCATTTATAGAATTGTTAGGAAAGGTTTGAATTATCCTGTTATTGAAATTACAGACTGAAATTTGATCTGTCTTAGTTGGTATATCTGCATACTGTGAAGATTGTCTCGATAAAGCTATTATGATACAAGTCATATAGAATGAGATTGTCGCTAGTAGTAGGATTCAGGGCATATGTCTCGTCCTGCTGTCGCTGCTCATACCTAAACTTAAACTGAAAATCTCTCACTTCAAATGGTCAATGCATCATCCATTTGCTCTTGAAACAACCTCATTATTTATCTGAACCGCCTACAATCAGACAATTCATTATGATGTAATCGAGAGTGCTTAAGGCCGATATTGATTAAATATTGTAAAAGTGTATGATATGAAATTAAAAATAACAGAAAATAATATGTTATTAGTCTATGGAATAGTTACCAACATCTGCCCATTATTTCATACAATCGACAGCTTTTCAATATTCAGATACGAACTATTCATTAATACAATAAGTGATCTGATAGTGACCCATACTAAGGTACTAAAACTTATAGTGAAATTTTAGGAGAATTAACGAAAACATTTGAGGAATTCTTTTGAAGATAATCAAATGAAGAAGACAACTTTTTTTCCAAAATGACTAAACCTTTCAAAGAGGATTAAAAGAATGATTCAAGACCATTTATGATAGTTGACTATCAGTATTAATAGAAACGTTGAATATGTCAAGTTACTTGTGTCTCACAGTTGTTAAATTCATTGTCTAGATAATCGCTAATCAACTGAATTTGAGAAAATCATCAATCCACTACTCAAAGATGTTACAATCATAATAAAATAAAGGATTTGAAAGATTCTAACTTCTAACAACTGACAGTGTCATTTTGATCACAATACGAAACGAAAAAGAACAAGTATATCGTCAAATAACAGGAGACAAGATTCAAATACATTAAGATTTAGCAAAATATATTATTTGTCAGCTTTTTTTTCACGTATATATAACTTACTTGAGTTAATAAATAATTGGAACTCTTAGATTCTCTTGTTTTACTAAATGGTGAAATTATTTCACCTGATGAATTTAAATCAGGTAATATAACTAAGTGACTAATTAATCGAATTCCACGTTTCCATTCACTTGGTCCAGATATTAAGGCAAGAATATTTAAAAATGAATGAACAGCACTTAAGCATACAACGGGTACTTTGCCTTTAAAAAAAAAAGAGAAAAAACCAATTTTGTAATGTAAAATATTTTTTCAAATGAAAATCGATATATTGGTTCGTACATAAGACCATGTGAACAGTTAATGCTAGCGGGATATATATTAGATCAAATCATGTTCTAGGCGGAATCGTGTTGGAGCACGTTGACTGACTATTTCTTAACCAATCAGCGCTAGAGGATAAATTGGAGAAGATTCTAGAATCTTCTTACGTAAAAATTATAAATATAGTAGCGTTTCTCTTATTGTGATTCCTAATTCAATCCACCCTTGTTATTTGTAATATAATTACGTTCCTGTTCAACCGTGTTTTGATTTTGGGTTTCGTTGAGTGAAGCAGTGTCCAAGAAATACTAAGCAACAAGAGTAGATGAGTCGTAAGAAGAGAAATTGTAACAGTTAGGTAATGTGATTGAATTATATGAATGCAAGTAAATGCATCACAGAAAATCATAAAAATAATACTTATAACCAATGGTTAATTTCATCCACATAGTTCTTTATTTATGAAGTATTTATGCAAGCAAACACAGTCATAAACAATCTAGAACTAATATGAAAAAAGAAAGAAAAAGATGCAATGACAAACAAAGAAAGCAATTTTTTGGAGGAAGGGACAGTATTTCATGTAATTCAAAATTTGCAAAGTAGTAGCATTTAGTTTTGTGCCTCCTCTAATCTACAAATTAAAAGCTTTTATTGAGTGTAATTCAATTTTAAATGGTTTTTGAACTATCCTTTTGTTGATATTTCTGACTGAAATTTGATCAGTCTTGGTTGGTATATATGCATCTTGTACAAATCGCCTTGATATAGCCATTATAACACAAGTTGGTATAAAATAGATGTGGTTATCAGTGGAATCTAGGACGTGCGTGTCATCTTATTCGGGACTCGTCAGTTAGATATACCTGCATCCCAAAGTTGATATTCACTCCGGGACTCGAACCCGGTACTCACCTACTAAATCCGAATGGACACTTACTTGTTTAGTGTATGGAGTACTGTCATATCATTTTCTACTTCAAAATTACTGTAGTTTAAAAGTGACCATTGTATTTTATTCTTTATACTCTAACGTTCTAGTTTAGATACAATAGTTTTTTTTATTATTTATCCCTACGGTCTCGTTGGTCATGCATTCATGCACCTTTGATAACCAAAAAATACATAAACTTGATGCTTCGTTGATGAAGAAACCATGTGGAAATAGTTGAAACAGCTATTGAATGTTAAAAATACTTCAATCTTCCTACGTCTGATGTGAGTAGTTTTCAATTGTTTATATCGTTCAGTAATGAATGAAAACCAGACTTAATTAGCATTAAATATCTAGTGGGTATTCAAATACCACGACTACCAAGTTGTAGACATTATTCATCTTAACAATGTAAACATTTCATTATTTCCTTGCATCGAATCATGATAATACACAACTATCTTCCAATACCGTCGATGGGTAAGTACACTACACAGTATATGGTCGAACTTCACTGCTCGAGGCTTCTCACTAGGACTTCGGCAATTATCTATCGAAATTACTCAATGATAAATCACGTTGTTATTACCATAAACGACTTGTGAAAATTGTTGAAATTCATAGTTTACGTCACGGACTGATCACAGAAATATAGCTGGTAATGAATTTAGCCACAATAATAAATTGGTCACACAATACCTCGAAGATATTTATCCATCGATAGAAGTACTGGTACTTCAGCTTCAGATTCTATTAGCCATTCGAATTTTTCTGGTTTCAGTGGAGGATGGCTCAACAGTAATTGTGTACGTCTTTCTACTGATTGTAAACATTCTAGAATTTTATCAGATATAGCTTCGGCATGATTATCATTATTGTCAATTGATATCAATTGATCAGTAGGAGAATATGTTGGATTGAATTGTGACAGTTCAGAGACAAAAGCAATCAAAGCTGAAACATCCAAATTTATACGATTCACTTCATCTACACTAAAAAGCGAAAATAAATTGAAATACAATAGAAATATGGTTAGTATTGGAATCTAGGATCCGCATTTCATTCTGTTTGGAATTCGTCAGTTGGATGTACCTGCCACATTTCAGAGTTGATGTTCGCTCCAGGAATACACACTATATACAACCAACAATGAAATAAATAAAAGTCAACAATCATAAATATACGTTCAAGTGATGCAACTGTTCATCAAGTACTCAGAGCTCTGAGCTACACTTTAAGTATAAGGGCTACTACTACCGGGGTCGCCTGGAAGGAAATGTAGTCGGTGTCGAGCACGTTCAACCTGTCTTCGTTTAAATCTCAAATCTTTTAATCAGAAAATTTCCCTATATTAATCCAATCACGTGTTCTATGACAAATCCTTTCTATTACCACTGATACTATTACTGTCTCTACTAATCTGAAATTCGCCCTGACAATTTCATCATCCCATGTTAATAGCGTGGTGCATGCTACTTCCGCCGACAGATATAAGTAGTATGTAGTAGCGATCAGAAGTGGAATGCCTTCCAAAAGAAGATTGAATTGAAAAGAACAGCGAGAGGAGCAGACAGCAATTAGAGTGAAAACAGAGTTGAGAATTGACTTCCCACACCAGATCTTCGTTCATCACAATGGGGTAAGGCAACTTAAATGGGTGTACACGTATCAGGTTCTACATTGCGTATGACTGACTGTAAATGTCCGATTCAAGGATATTTAGATGATAATTTACTGCTTGGAGTCACTTCAATATTCATACACTATTTACCTTATTTCTATACAGCATATTAGTATTGGTCACATAAAGATACTCTCCTTTGTTGAACCGTCTCCATTTTGTTTCATCATATAATAAATTTATTCCGTTAAAATCATTTCAACATCCAATTTAACATCTTCAGGAAGAAACACTTACCGACCATAAGAATCTGTTAGAAATGGCCATAATGCACATTTCTGTAAAACTGCATCCATTGGATAAGTAATTTTAAAGGAATTCAATGAATCATCCACTTCAAACAATAACATTTCATCAGTAAGAATACTGGCCTTCTGTTCTTCATGATTAACTGTTTTGTACAATCTATTCAACAACGACAGTATCTTTTCTATAGCTTCAAATTTAAATTGTTTGAAATCACCAGACGTGTTATCGTATTCAGTAAAACTATTTAAAAATTTCTTGAATTTATATACAGGTAAGATTAAATTTCTAAGAGATACAGTATAGTTAGGACTTTTGAAAATGATAGCAGGAATATCACAGTTATTAATCCATGGATTAGAACCAGTAAGTAATGTCACATCAATATTCTGAAGATATTCACGTAAATCTGAATCTATATCATTGATTTCAGCACAGAAAGATCCATGTGGTAGCCAATGTACGATTACACGAATCCAATATTTCGGTTGACCTCGTTGATACCAGTGAGATGCTAGGACTAACTCTTCCGCTTGACGTCCCAAACAAGCTACATGTTTTGAAGAAGCTTCACCTATATGAACATCAGAAATTTTAGTAAAAATGGGTAGAACTAAACCATAAAAACGAGCTTGAATGACTCTTGAAATGACTGATAAACTCTTGACTTTATTCAGCCGACCAGAAAACAGAAATTATGGATAAATAATTGATGGTGCTAGGACTGGAAATAAGGACTACAGTTCAGGATTTATGTTTATGATCTAGAGTTTACAGCTAGTGTCTAAACTAGTATGCAGAATTTAAGATTTATGGAAAGGATATAAAACTTGGAGATACAGTTAAAACAAAAGTTTAGGACTAAGAGTTGTGACTTAGGGTTATGATTTAAGATTTAGATTAGGTTTTACGGTTAGCCCCTATGCACCCCAACCCTAAATTTTTCATCTTAATCATAAAAATAAACCCAGCTCAAATCCTATATCCATATAAAAGTTAATTGATAGAAATAACAAACACCAAGAAAGGTTTATATTAAAACCACTTGAACATATGTAAATAATAGACTATATTGTCGAATAAATTCATTTTAAGTATGACTGACGAAAAAATCACCGGAAATCACATGCAAATGGATGCGCTACATTATGAGTGACATCTACTGATTTCGAACCCACAGTTAAAGGAAAGACATTTTATTCCATAGTCCAATGGCGTGAATTGAAGTATATTTAGAAAAGCTGAAATTCATACGTAACCTACATGTAGTAATCCCAAGCTCTGTGTTGTTTTAGCTAGTTACAAATTACATGCATATGATCATGCATTTACAAAGCACCTGTATGTGTAGTGGAACTATCCATCAGTGTAATAGAGAAGCTAGATATAAGGTTCAGGACCAGAGAGTCAGTTCAGTCGGTGAAGTTGTAGATCTACACTCACATTCATAACAACTGGTCTGGTGATCATTGCTGACTCCCGTGAATGGTGATCCCTTATACATAATTAAGCTAGGGAAATACTTTTATTAATTTTTTAAAAAACTCATTTACCGTCTACGTGGGTATGACTAATACACTCTAAGAATGGCATTAACCGGTTGTCCAAACTTAAATAGATGGAGCGGAGTTCTGACCAAAGATTCAGTGGCAGGAAGTTGAACATCTTAACCATTAAGCTACAGCTTAGTAGCTTTCGATTACGTCTTTCCTCGTCTTGTCTTTATGAGAAATGTAACAACTTTTGTGTGTGAGATACTGGGTTGATGTCTTTAATGGTCGAAATAAGAAAGCACGCATAAACATACCACCTGATGTATATTACTTGACAAAACTACACAATTATTAGATTGATCACATGAAATAGAATGTAGTAGAATATAAAGTATGTGTTCATGATGTTGTCGTTCAAAACAGTAATAAAAGCTTAACAATTAAACCATCCAGATCAGTAAAAATCAGTTTACTATTTATATTAATCACTAATTCAAAAGTTTATTCCACAACATCACCAATAATCACTTCATACTGACATCATACTGAAATTAAGAGACTGCAATAGTCGAACATCAGTAATTATATACCAACATTAAAGGCTCGCTTTATTTATTTATTTATTTGAACACATAAATATTGGTACAAGAGAGCGCCAATATATATGCGCCACACAAAACAATGAGAATTCGAAGAGAAGTAGAAAAAAAAAACTAAGGAGCGCAAAAGAAAAGAGAACAATGACGAAGAGATTGGAGTAAGGTAGTGTGGTAGTAACAACGGAACGAAAAGGTACAATCAGAAGAAATCTTTCAGGTAAAGGAGACACAACCACTTTTTATGAAGAAAGTAAAAGAAGGTTACAGCAGGATCGCCACTGGCTTCTATTCTGAGCCATATCTGATAACGTCTCTAGCCACTGTGTAGCACCATCTCTCGGACCCCAACCAGGGAGTCGTGAAGGACCAACACAAGCCAGTCCTTTGCAGCTTTCTTTCATGCCACGACACCATGTCATGCACTGACCACCTCTCCGCTTCTTCCAACCAGTCCCAGAGTCGGCAAATAATGCACGACGTAGAATTCTCTCGGACGACATTCGGAGAACATGTCCAAGCCACCGAAGTCGGTGTTTCAAGATGGTCACACCAATTGAATTATCATCTCTGTGCCCGAACACACGATGCCGAACCTCTGCATTACTGACATGGTGTTGCCACTGAATGTCAGCAATCCTTCGGAGACAGCGATGATCGAACACAGAGAGTCGTCTAACGTCCTCAACTCGGAGAGGACAGGTTTCACAAGCATAGAGCAAAACTGCTCTCACCGACGCGTTGTAGATCCGGCCTTTTACAGCCAGACTAACATCACGAAGGCGCCAAAGGTGGCCCAGATTGGCATAAGCCGCTCTGGCTTTCACTATTCGTGCATTGATCTCATCACTCACACCCCCACCAGCACTTATGCAGCTACCCAGATACACGAACTTCTCAACTACTTCTATCTGCTCACCATCCAGGATGAGTACAGGATTAGAATCCTGCCAGTCTTGTAGAAGTACTTTGCACTTCGAAGGTGTGAAGCACATACCATACCTACGGACACTGATTGCCAACTGATTAAGTGCGGATTGCATGCCTTGGGCATTATCGCACAGTAAGACAATATCGTCCGCATACTCAAGGTCGAGAAGTCTTTCTCCAGGCAACAGATCCACACCACCATTACTTACATTCATCAGAGCTGTTTCCAGAATGTCATCGATGGCAAAGTTGAAGAGGAATGGTGAGATTGGGCAACCCTGCCTAACCCCACTGCTCGAATGGAACAATGGAGAGAGGTGGTTGTATGCCCTCACTCTGCCTGAGGTGTTTTTATACAGGGTTTTTAGGATGTTAATAAACTCCTCAGGCACACCCTTCTTCAATAGACAATCCCAGAGAACAGTCCTATCCAACGAATCGAAGCCAGCCCTGATGTCCAGAAACACTACGATTGTTGGCCTTTGATAAGTATGGCGGTGTTCTAACATTTGGCGGAGGGTGAAGATATGATCAATACATCCTCGACCAGAACGAAACCCAGCCTGCTCCTCGCGAGTCAATCTTTCTCGGGTTTTAAACAACCTACGAAGAATGACGGAAGCCAATAGCTTGGACGCAATCGGAAGTAAACTTATCCCCCGATAGTTGTTACAGGAACGACGTGAACCCTTTTTAAAGATAGGGACAACTATCGACTCATTCCATGACGTTGGTACACTCTCTAGTTCCCAAACCTTTGTAAACAACGTCGTCAATTCCTTAGTCAAAAAGTCACCACCATCTTTAAAAAGAGACGGAGGTAAGTCATCTGGGCCTGTTGATTTGTAACGCTTCAAGAGTTGGAGTTCCTTGCGGACTTCCTCCTCATTTGGTGGATCAGTCGTCACCGGCCATGGAGGGCAGGACAGTCTGACCGATGTTGCCGGAGCAGCAGGCCAGTTGAACTGCTCTTCGAAAAATTCTGCCCATCGTCCAAGACGTCGATGGATGTTTGTGATTGGCATCCCATCATCCTCGCAGATTGTTTCACTCACACCAGACTTCTTGCTGCCAGTGGCTCGGATTAGCTGGAAGAGCTTCCGGTAGTTACCAGATGCAGCTGCTGCTTCCAGCTCATTAGCACGCATCGACCACCAGGCTTCTCGGTCCTTACGCAAGCTTTGCCCAATTTCCTTACGTAACATCCTTCGTTTATGGTCAAACTCACGGTCACCCGGAGTAGACCGACGGGCTTCAATGAGTTGTAAGGAACCTGGAGAAACCCAGTGCTTAAAAGCGGGACGTTTCGCAAACCCACAACTGACTGTTCCCGCCATTTTCATGGCGTCATGCAATTGCAACCAATGCTCATCTATACTTTTCGGTGGAGTGGTAGCTAGCCTAGAGGCTAGCTCGGTTCGATACTTACTTGCAACAGAAGTTGCAACCAGCTTGCTAACATCAATCTTTTGGTGGTGGTCACTTCGTTGGCCACTGAAAAGTAAGGCAAGATTGGCGCAGACCAAGGCATGGTCAGAGTCCAGATAGGTACTCCAAAAGGAGCGGCAGTCTTGTACACAACCACGCCAGCGGTAGCTGATCGCGATGTGATCAATCTGAGTCCAGGCTTGAGATGCAGAGGAAGGACGCCAGGTGGCACATCGGCGATGACTGTGCCGAAAGTTAGTGCTAGCCAGAAACAGGTTGTGGTCTGTGCAAAGTTGCAGTAGACGGTCCCCGTTATCTGACCTGCGACCAACGAGTCCCCATCGGCCACCTAAACGACTCTCTTCTGTGCCTAGACGCCCGACCTGAGCATTCAAGTCTCCGGCTAGTACTACAATATCTGTCGAACGCACTTTCTGGAGAAGAACTGATAACTGGTGGTAAAACTCATCCTTGATTGCATCCGGGCTGCAATCTGTCGGGGCATAGGCGGAGATGACGAAAAGACATCGTTTCTCACGCCGATTTCTTCTCACTTTGATGGAACTTTCTAATCTAACAGCACATAACCGACTGTTAATGGGGATCCAATCGACTAGTGCTGCCTCAGCTCTAGCGCTTAGTGCGACACCAACGCCAGCAAGACCAGACGAAGATGCCACAGGGTCCCCGGATAAGCGCACGTAAAACAAGCTTTTCGAAGCGACAGATGGAGAGCGAATTTGTAGTACTTCGCCAGAGTCTTGAATACGGGTCTCGGATAGACAACACACGTCGATATTAAGACTTTCCAAAGACATAGCCAGCCCTATCTGTTGTCCGACCTGCATAAATGTGCGAACGTTGAAGGCAGCCAGTTTGAATGGTGCACGTGGTTTCAGAAAAACTGCTTCAGTCCTCGTATTCGGTGGTAACATACAATTTTCAACCGGACAGTGACTCGAGAACGTTTAGATACAGTCGGATTTCCACCAAAGACGAGCCGCTGTATAAGTATAAAAGAGGGTGAATAATGTGGAAAATAATAATAATGATAATAATAACAATAATGACAATAATAGTAGTAATAATAATGTTAGTATTAATAATGACAATAATTGTAATGATAATAATCTGAATCAATTGTTTGTTTTTCAAAGCGAGAAATGTAATTTCCATAGGCATAAAGAGTTCATCAATTTGTGTGTGGGCTGTGATACTGCCCGGGTGCCCAAACCGAAGCAGGTGGTTATCTTAGGGGGCCACTCCCCGAGCCTTTGACCTAAAAGTCTAACCCACAAGGCAGTGGAGCATCGTAAGGAGATGCAGTCCCATGGTAGCCGGTGACCAACGATTGGTTCATACGCCATTTGTTCCCGCAGGATACTGGAGCCCATGTGCACCATTGATTTGGGATCCGGTTAAAGCGCCGGACATTCGCTTTTCGTCCTCTCATTTTCGTAAACAACACCCCCGCCACGAGAAGGCAATGAGTAGGACTTCCCTGGCAGAGGCTGTATACGCGTGGCCGTGTGAGAATATTTTGAGAGGAAGAGCGGACTCTCCCCACTCTCGGCCGTACCAGGGCATTCAGGGGGGCTCGCTTTACCATGATCAATCATGTTTTGCAGTTGTGTATGAAAAGCAACTCGGTCTGTAGCTCTTCTAGAGTTACTGCCGGTCCCAATCTCGAGTAAAGGAGGAGGGTTGAGCATGGGGTCAACAACTCCATCCTATACAAAACAATCTTGTTAAATAAATGCTAACCACAATAAAATATTTGAACCTATTAAACTCTGCCCTCCGATTTCAACGATCTTCATTCATAACAATCATGACGCCTCATGATGAAGGCCGAGATTCTTAGGAAGCGACGAGGACGATACCCCTTTTCTAACAACCAGAGCAACAATTAATATAGGTACATGGAATGTCCGTACAATGTAGGAGACCAGGAGGACCAGTTAAATAGTTACGGAAATGAGGAGATACAACTTGGCAGTACCAACTGACCCATTACTACTACTAATTATTACGACTACCGGAACACTTACCTATTATATTGCATTACTCTGTAACTGTAGTCCAAGTTTTCAGATTGAATGGATAAAAATGCATCAAAAATTACTCATTCACGTGCTACCGCAAAAAAATTCACAATAAAGAATAATTAGCAAAACAAACACATATTACCTCGCCAAGCATTATTAAGACGAGATGAATCACGAGTCACAACTTTAATCCACAAAGCAGGAGCCCATAGACTAGCTTCATCTGCATTACCATAACAGGTTCTAGATCGTGAAAAATCATCGATACCTTCATCTGATTGTGTACATATTAAATCAACGAGCAGAGAGTCTGGAAAATATCATTTGAAGAAATAAAATCAAATTATCATAATAATATTGTTCACTGAGTGGTAGGCTAGCTATCGTATTTATATAATGACATTAGGTTTAATTAAATAATATTATCAACACCGACTAGCATAATAGATGTAACCTAATACTTATTAATGACGCTTAGGGATGAATGTATGACACTACATATACATAAAACAGACTTAAATCGTATAGAACCTAACACGTAAGTGTGTTTGACTGACTATTATAAGCTTAATTTGGCACATATCGGCTCCCAGAAACATGAGGAAATAAATGAAAGGAGAAAGAGGTTAGAGTATAAGAGTGTAACAACCGATTTTGTTAAGTTTAATACCTAACAATGCTACTATTTACAAACAGTTTTCTACGCAACATGCTCCAAATTCGTCGGCCGGACATCAACAACATGCTACTGTGGTACGGAACAAAACATATCCCAGCTGAAGAGGAAATTAGGAAAAATCTTTGGAGGTGGATGGTACACATATTTTGGAAATCACCAAACTGTATCACAAATTAAGACCTAGCTCGAAATCCTCAAGGCAAAACGAGAAAAAGAAAGAACACATTCAGCCGGAAATCTGAACCAGACATCAAAAGAATTAACAGGAATTAGCAACGACTGGAAAGGAAAACCCAGAAAATAGTTGGTTGGACAATGCTGATCGGCGGCCCACGTTCCACGAGAGGTAACAGGCATAAGTAAATAAAGTAACAGTGTAAATTTGACGTAAGTGCCGTTTACTTGGCAGTCCTATCGCATAAAACAGATAGCTTAATGATAAGGTCACTTGAAATTCAATTACTAAGACTCAGGTTCCATACCCACTGCACCTACCTCGGTCTGGGCGACCGAGTAGTATCACTAGCCCTCACACCAGAAGTGAGGTTCGAAGCTAAGTACATGATAAATCGGCCAATTAATATAAAAGTGATATAACGGATGGTTCTAAAATATTTTTCTCTCTTCGCGGTATACTACGCTAAGCTACATTCGATACATGAATGGTACATAATACAGATACCAGATCTAGGATTCACAACCCAGAACAGAGAGCCAGATTAACACTAGATAATACTTTATTCAACGCAGTTACAAGCAGTCACTCTGAGACGGGAGTAAAAATCAATAGCAGAGGAGGAAATCCATACTTAATAGTCAGTAGGTTATGCCTTTTTGTTCATGCTCAATGACCAATCACGTTCCACTCTCACTACCACACATCATTTTCCCTCTAGGTTTGTGGGTAGTTCTTGTCTTATATTCGTCTGTAAAGATTGGATCAGCCTTATGACACCAAATATCTACCCTGGCATTGCATGCATTATCTCCTCCCTCATGAAACAATGTAGGATCCTCAAATTTCAATGTTATAAGCAATTCGATGGCCCCGTTTTGAATTATCTTTTCATATCTCACACTTCCATTGTATGTGAGCATTTGGGTATACACAGAAACATATAATTTGAGGCCTTCCACTATGTGATTCTGACTTGTATGGAAGTTCTATGCACGCTCTTCTTGCCTTTAACGTCAAAAAACCTAAGGCCATTGTTCGAGTTATAATATGAATACACACTGAACATCGATCTGTGTAACTGACACGACATGTGATTTATCAAGACTTGATTCACCTTCAAGACAATCAAATGAAAAATAAGCATTTGCCTCATACTCATTAGGATAATTTTGGACTCAGTTCAAATTTTCTGCCTGTGAAAAATTTACATCTCGACAAACTGGTTCTCTGACTGCTTTGGACAGACGTGATATGCCTTTCGGTTCATCATGCCATCGACTGGGGATTCTACTCGACATACATAGTTTGTGAGAATATTCAACATCTGATACAATCACATCAGAAATGTGGCTAGAATTTGACGCATTTAGAACATACTTGTCACATTCACTAGGGATTTCACTAGAAATAAATCCAAGGTGAGGACAAATGACATCCAATGTGATACCGTCAGAACGTGACTAGCCTCGTCATGGTATTTACTTATGATCGTAATATATCGAAAGAGAAAAATACTGTGAACCATACGTTAAAAGCAATCTTACAAACAGGCATAACTCAATACATACAACCGAAGTATATTTTTAACCTTATATAAAAACTATTCCCCAGCTGGATAAATTGCCACACGGTATACTCCCCTTTCAAAGAACATCAATATGTAGTTACCTGAATAAATACTCGAATTAAATTAACTTTAATAGTTACGCACGAATGTTGAAAATCTCCACTGTGTGAAATTAGGACAACGAAAATAAACACATCGATATCCTATGCGATAGACAACTCATCGTAAAAGCAATACTTTACGAAATCAGTCATTCCGATTGCCACTTTCTGGTTAACCGATAGTGCCTGCTGAGATTAAAGTTGAGCTATCTAGCTTTACCAAATTACCGGTCCAGTTGTTCCTGTGAAAATAACTATATCTGGTGTATTCTAGATATATAAGCCAGAGTTAGCCAGTAATCCCTATTGTGACAAATGTCAAGTTTCTCTAGTCCTTCTTGATGTTGAGCGAATTATATCGATCACGCTACAAAGTGGCCACTAGTCTAAATAATCCAACATCGCGTACACTGTTTCGACGTTAGATTATTGGGAGTAATCGACTGGAAGCCCTACAGAAGATCAGATACAACCAGAATGGTTCACTGGCAACACCTCAGGCTATGAAGGTGGATGGTACAAGATCAGATCTACCCGAAAGCGTCAGCTCCCTTAAGACTATAGGTATACTCAAATTTATTTTATCACATTTCGTCGATAGTGACCATATGATAGATAGGACTGAAACATTCAGGGCCATTAATAGTATTTTTCCACATTTTTCCAACAGGATTAGATTACTTTGCTTACATCCTGGGCAAGCTATAAAATTTAAGCCGACAATCCTTATTATTTGCAGTCAAAAAACATTCATTATAATTTTATCTTTTTCCAGATCAGAAAAGACATGATAAAAGATCCTACCAGTTGTTCACAACTATTAAACAGCTGTTTCAACCTAGTATGAGACAACTCAGAGGTATGCACGTATGACATCATACAAAGAAGTGAGTACATTTCCTATATCAAAATTCTTATATGCCGAAGAGAATAATGAATGGTGACTGTTGGGATCCATTTATGGAACAATTATATATATAAGTAAAGTTATAAACAATTGGACAGAGCCGTGTAGGTCGGCGCATATCATTTGGTAGGAGGTCGCACGATTGTTGCAACCAGTGGTTAGAGACCTTTGATCGCATAGCTTAGAATCGTCCACAATGACCCAGGTGAATCCACCAGTTGTCCTCTCTTAAATTCCAAAATTTTTAATTACCTTATGAAACCTTTTTAGACATTCATATTTACTTCTCCAGCCATATCTTTTTCTACTACCATTGATATTGTTACTATATCTACTACGCTGATAGGTGACTTAGTAATTTCATCTCACTATACTAAGGGAATGTGTCAGATTGAACCAATACACATACATCCCAAGGTCCTACGTTGAGTATGACTGGTTTATTTGAGCTGCAAATCTATTTCTTTATTACACAATCATGTATATTAAGGTGAAACAAGAAAGAAGTCAATGGAAAACTGCTATCGTTACAATTCTATATCGTTCTGAACAATAAAATCAAGTATATAATACCAAAAGAAAAGATTGACGACAATAATTTCACCTTGTTTATCGCATCGTAATAAATAATCATTACTATTTGAATGAATCGCATTAAGAGAACTGACAACATTATTGTGATTATCATCATCATCATCATCATCAAACTGTTGTACATGAATACTACTGTTGACAGTTGATTCCAACGGTAGACGATAACGACATAATAAATCCACAAGACGATTACCATAAGAATTGGCGATTGTGGTTATCGCTTTGAAATATGGCAAATTGGAACAAACAGCTGAATCGTCGGCTAAGTCAGACGGCAACTAATATAAACAGATTTTTGGAGATTTAATTTTAGTAAAATGGACAAACAGTAAAAAATATCCAAGTATGTACAGATTACAAATGTTATGAGAATAATTTACAAGTCATGTAAACGTACATTACAAGAACTAGTCAATCTATAAGATTTGGTAACACGTAAGCACTACGTAAAACCATCATTTTTTTAATCAAAATATAGATTATGATTAGTAGTGAAAACTAAAACGACTGTTCTATCTTATATAGGATTTTCTAACTGAATACACCTGCACCACAGTGTCGATGTTCACATAGAGATTCGAATACAGTAACTTTCTCTTTAACACCTAACCCCTTATTCACAGCATAATTGAGTTCAGATAACCACTATCTTGTTCAAAAGGTATTTATTTATTTATTTTAACACATAGATATTGGTACAAGGAAGCACCAAATACATATGCGCCACACAAATCTCATTCGATGTGTGAAGGCTGTGATACTGCCTGGGTGCCAAAGCAGGTGGTTTTCTTAGGGGGCCACACCCCGAGCCTTCGACCTGAAGGTCTGATCCACAAGGCAGTGGGGCATCGTAAGGAGATGCAGTCTCATGGTAGCCGGTGACCAACAATTGGTTCATACGCCATTTGTTCCTTGAGGATACTGGAGCCCATGTGCACCATTGGTTTGGAATCCGGTTAAAGCGCCGGACATTCGCTTTTCGTCCTCTCATTTTTGTAAACAACACCCCCGCCACGAGAAGGCAGTGAGTAGGACTTCCCTGGCAGAGGCTATATACGCGTGGCCATGTGAGAGAATTTCGAGAGGGAGAGCGGACTCTCCCCACTCTTGGCCGTACCAGGGCATTTGGGGGCAGTTCTAAAGGTATGATTTTAATAGAATCATTAGCGAGAGCGAAAACATTCCTTACTGACAATTGTTTCCTTTTTGACTAAGATTTCAGAAAAATAGATGATTAACAATCCATCCAGAACGATATAAATCTCCAAATGAGTGGAGAGAACTAATAATTACTCACTATTATTAGACTGAATATTAATATCAATACTGAAGTCCCAACTAACATTTGACGAACATGAAATATATGTTACATATGTGTGACATATTCTTTTCACTCTTGTCAAACTCGATAATAGTTTAAGAGCCAAGTTCCGTGAGTTATGCTCCCACATGCCCTGGCAAGGCCAAGGGTGAGGAGAGTCCGCTCTCCCTCTCGAAATACACTCACATGGCCACGTGTATACAGTCACCGTCAGGGTAGTCATAATCACTGCCTTCTCGCGGTGAGGGAGCTTTTTACGAAAGAGAGAGGACGAAAGGCGAATGTCAGACGCTTTAACCGGGCTGGTGGACACGGAGGGTCCACTTAGGAGAGTTGGAAAACCCTGGTTACAAAGCAATGGGGCACATAGTCTCCAGGATGTTGAGGGAACAAATGGCGTATGAACCTATTGTTGACCACCAGATACCATGAGATTGCATCTCCTAACGTTGCTCTAAGGCCTTATGGATCAGACCTTTAAGTCGGAGATTCTAGGTGTGTCCCCCTAAGAAAACCACCTGCTTCGGTTTGGGCACCCAGGCAGTATCACAGCCCACACACAAATCAAATGACAATTACTACTGGAAATATTATTCCTGCTTCAATTAACATTCAGACATATCACATTTATTTTTATTTTATATACTAAATCACTTGTCTACTTTCTTCTATTCTCATTGTATTCTTATTTTTCAACTTATACAGCAGCTCGCTTATGGTGGAAGCCCTGTCCTATTTAAGCGGTCCCGAGTCACTGACTGGTTGAAAGTTGAATGCTACCACCGAATACGAATACTGAGTCTTCCTGAAACCACGTATACCATTCAAACTGGCTTCCTTCAACATTCGCACACTAATGCAGATCACACAATAGATAGGGTTATCTATGTCTTTAGAAAGTCTTATTATCGACGTCTGTTGTCTATCCGAGACCCGTAGTCAAAAATCTGGTGATGTACTACAAATTCTCATTCCATCTGTCGCTTCTAAAAGCTTGTTTCACGTGCGTTTATCCGGGGATCCTGTGGCGTCTTCGTCTGGTTTTACTGGTGGCTCACCAAGCGCTAATGCTGAGGCAGCACTGATCGACTGAGTCCCTATTAACAGTCAGTTATGTGCTGCATGGTTAGAAAATTCCATCAAAGTGCGGAGAAATCATTGTGAGAAACGATGTCTTTTTGTCATCTACACCCGTGCTCTGACAGATTACAGCCCGGATGCGATCAACGATGAGCTTTGCCACCAGTTACCAGTCCTTCTACAGAAAATGCGTTCGACGGATAATGTAGTACTAGCTGGAGGATTGAATGCTCAGGTCGGGCGTCTAGGCACAGGAGAGTCGTTTAGGTGGCCGATGGGGGTTGTTGGTCACAGGTCCACTGCAACTGTGCGCAAACTACAACCTGTTTCTGGCTAGCACTAGCTACCAACACAGTCATCGCCGATGTGCCACCGGGAGTCCTCCCTCTGCATCTAAAGCCTGAACTCAGGTTGATCATATTCTCTGTCAGCTACCGCTGGCGTGGTTGTGTACAAAACTGTCACTCCTTTTGGAGTACCTATCTGAACTCTGATCATGCCCTTGTTTGTGCTAATCTCACCTTATGTTCCAGTGGCCAACAAACTCATCGTCCTAAACCGATCGGTGTCAACAAATTGGTTGCAGCTTCTGTTGCAACTAAATATCAAGCAGAGCTAAGTTCAAGGTTAGCTACCATCCCATCAGAAAGTGTAGATGAGCCTCGCGAAACGTCCCGCTTATAAGCACTGGGTTTCCTCAGGCTCCTTACAACTGATTGAAGCCCATCGGTTTACGCCGGGTGACCGCGAGTTTGACTACAAACGAAGACTTACGCAATGAAGTTGGACAAAGTTTGTGTAAGGACCGAGAATCCTGGTGCTCGGAGCATGCCAATGATTTGAAAGCAGCAGCTGCATCTACTAATTGTATATTTATTACCGAAATATAAATGCCAGTGATTTTGTTGAAAATAAAATTGTATTCCCCTGAATTATCTTGGTTTTAAAAGAATTAACATACGAATATCCTAACATCATGATGATTCTAATAGGTCCGATTGATTGAAAATGGAATTAATTGAGTGTTTTGATTTCAGCCTGATCGGAGGATGCAAGAAGACAGGGATATCTGTCATAGCTAAGGTTTCGCAACTGCGAAAATCTCGTTAAAGAACCAAGTAAATAGGAAAGAGGCGACATCAAGTGCAAATTATTGACACATCACCCCTGTTCATGATATTACTACAGGATATGTATTAAAAATAACAAAAGGACTTACCGACTCAAAATGAGTCGTCTCTTTTTGACACATTCTAACTAGACGTTGTTTTCCTGGGACATCAGGAATAGTGTTATTGATATGATCAACTAATTCTTTCAGTTCAAGGATAACCGATGAACTACTTTTCTTCTTTGTCATCATACTTTACTGACTATGCAAAACGCTTGCGATGCTTATCAATGGAATGGTCTTCAAATTGACAAGTTTCATTTATGGAGAAAAGGTATAATCTGTAAATAGGGTAAAGGATGAAATCTTATCAATGTACGCATCTAACTTTAGTAGACTGCATAACACTCGAAGGCATAAAATAAAACGATAAAAATTGCTGTGGTCAGAAAAGTTGAATACCAATAAAAACTAAGACTACTTTCAAACTACTTCCATTGCTCAACAAAAAAGCGGCAAAATAGATTTTGTATATAGAAAATATAGTGAGACGAAACTAGTTTAAACAAGTGGGATTTTTGCTCAATAACTGAAACACTTCTCTCAGAACATAAACATTTTGATACAAATATGCCGAAAAAATGTATGTACAATGTGGAGTGATAATTTTATGAGAAGACAGAAAAGTCCGAGTAATGAATGAACAAAACTAGCATCCAAAAAAATAGTACAGTTTAGTTTCAAAAACTACGCGATTAGGATATGTATCTTGGTTGGGAAAATAGATATATTAAATAGGTTCAAAAGCAACCCACGGATTGCTATGGATCTTTTTGACCTGTCCCTGGCAATGCTTAAAACTATTAAGCTACATGATTTTTAGGGACTAAACGAAGAATTTATGGTGAGAGAATAGATCCAAGACAAGGAGAGCCGTCATATCACGGCACTATGTTATAAACAGACTGACTGTCGGTTTTTTAACCCAGTCCTACAGTCAAAATATAATGTGGTGTATAATTCATAGGTTGAAAATAGACATGGGGACAGTAAATATTTTTTAATTACGTAGCTGAGGATCAATAGCTCTTAGTTATAGTTGCAACTGTAACTGCCTTACATATGTAAGGCAGTTTCGTACTATTCTACATTATCCTGGCACATTGAGAAATCCTAGAAACTATAATGAAACAATGGACAGTAACACGTCACCAAGGGATGACCTCATTCCTTCAACTACTCGTAATCAAATACAAACAAAGGACTTTACTTAGCAAATGTTAGCTCCACATGGTAGCGCAAGCTCATATAGGGCGCTTTTAAAGTGTTCAAATGACTCTAAAAATAATAGAAAAAGCTTTCGCTTAACGGGTTTCCATTTTTAGAAACAGTGGATCACAGATGCTGCCAGGATGGAACCTAGGTATTTCTAACTATAAAGGTAACTATAAAGATATTTGTAAACAATAGAGATACTACCCTCAGTCCTAGAGAATATATCAAGTTTTCTCTTAAAGGACTCCTGCGAAGTCGCTTGAACTAGTTCAGCTAGCAGCAAATTTCGGCATCCGACTACTCTTAGGGAGTAGAAGATGTGCCTGCAGTCCGTTCTGCCATGTTGTGGCTCTGGTTCCTGAACGTTGCCCCCAAGGTTTGTGTTGGCACTTAGATTAAGTAGGTATTTATTGGGATGTACGAAAGTGTTGAGGATGCTGTGCGTCATTAAAAGGTCACCTTTAAGACGCCTATATTCTGATGGGTAAATTTTCAGTGGTTTGAGGTGTCCTTCATACGGCTTGAATTTGAGCCTTAGAACTGATTTAGTGACTCGCGTTGAACTTGTCCCAACATATCCTTATGTTTTTGAGAAGAGGGAGGTGTAGTGGTAAATAAATCCCCAAAATAAATTGTTCTGTTTTTCTTAGACACTTGATACTGGCCGCATTATTATTGCTGGACACATCTAACTGAAGGCGCTTGGTTACGCATTCGCACCAGATCACGAGTGGGTATACCATGCTACACATCACTTACAATCGTCAGCCAGCTTAGATTAAGCGATCCCCGATATACCGATAGCTTTCTTAATATGTCTTTGAACCCCGCCTTCATCACTGACTTATAATTTGACTGAGTTAGTATACTATGATTATAAAGGTGCTAGGTGTAGAGGTGTTGTCAAACTCCGAACACCTGTGGCATCTTTATATATATTTCGTTTATCATAGGCTTGTAACAACTTAGGTTTATTAGTTAAGAGTTACCTCGAGCAACTAATTATGTCAAAACAATAGAGCTCAAGCATTCATTCACTTCCTTATTTCGTATAGGCATTATATTTCCTATTATCTTATATTAGTGTTGGAAAGTGTTGTGTGTATGGACAGGCAACCTGCCGCTCCACTGTGACTGTACCACGATCTAAATAAACACCTATTCACTACTAGGTTGGCTTCTTTTATCAATAGGACAAGGGTTAATTTCAGGCACGAAAGGCTTTCTATTGCTTCATTACCAACGTTATACGATCTAATGTTCTTAGTTTATTACCAATCTATTATTTACGGTCTTCTCTCCATTCAGCCACTTTTTGGCTTGATCACGTAGAACTGTTATTTTTACTTTATAGTGTGATGCAGTATGGTATGTTTATATCTAATCTGCTTGAATTATAATAAAGACCACGGATAAGTGACCATAGGTCTTACTTTCCTTCTTTTCGTTTGCATTCGGACGGTGCTGGGTCAACCCTGTAGCGGTAAATAAATCCCCAAAATAAATAGCACTAAGTTTTCGACATTGGATGCTGACCATATGTTTTAATGGACTCACCTAGCTGAAGGCGCTCGGTCAGGCATCCGCACCAGATCACGTGTGGTAACGCCGTGCTCAACATCAACCGCAATCGCTAGCCAGATTAGATCAGAGAATTCCGATATATTGGTCATCGCCAAATATACTCTTCCGATCTCCTCGACTCTGTCTTTTGATTTCTCTGGGCGGGAACGAAATATATTAGAAGGTGTTACTGGTAGAAGCGTTGTCAAACACTGAATACCTGTGACATCATCATTGGTGAAACCGACGTGATCTGGTACACCTAATTGCAACTGTGAGTCTGTTCCTTTTTGGGATTTTTATATATCATTGCCTTATTTTTTTAACTTTTTTAAACATTGTGATTTTTTTTCGTGTTTTTTCCTGGATATATATATTTTCCCCTTGTTCATTATCGTACTTCATACTTCATCATGACTGAACAGACACCTAAAGTACTCAAGCTTAAGACTTTGTCCCCGCCTTCGTTTCAACTGATGCCTTTCTGGCCCGACAACATCGAAGCCTGGTTTTGCTACGCAGAAGCCGACTTCTCCGAGCACGGCGTGATCGACACACGTGCGCAATTCCTCGCAGTAGTCAAGGCACTACCGCGCGAATTCAACAGGTACGTAACACCTAGTATGTTTACTAGTGATGTTTCCGATCCTTACGAAATCTTAAAACGCTCGATTCTTAAACGAGGAGACCTAACCGATCGACAAAGGTTAGATCAACTCTTCAACAATATCGACCTGCAACACAGTTCTGCGACGGACATGTTGCAACGGATGAGAGAGGTAATAGGCCCAAGAACTTTCGACGAAGGCCTATTCAAACAACTCTTCTTGTCAAAACTTCCCCAACAGGTGCAAGCAGTTCTGGTCTCGTTCCAGAACAATGCCTTAGACGAGCTAGCTGCATCTGCCGACCGCATTTAGAAATTACGAAATCTACTACCGAGGTATTTTCAGTCAAAGAAAAACCTCAAACGACTCAGAATGATATAAACGACTTATGTCACATACTCACGCGTTATCTTAGTCTTCGTACCGACCGTAAGAGATCGCGCACACCACGTAGAAGCATTTCTCGTAAGCAATCTGTCTCTAGACCACGAGAGACAGATAACCCCGACTGGTGCTGGTATCATAACCAGTATGGAAAGTTTTCCAGAAATTGCAGAAAACCCTGCAATTTTCCCAACACGAAACCGACTGATTCGAAAAGGAATTCGGGAAACTTCCAAGCCGGCACGCGTTAACGGCAACCGTAGCCGGCGAACAAAGCCGTCTGTTATTCGTCACAGATGTGACAACGAGAGTTCGCTACCTCGTCGACACCGGCGCAGAAGTTAGCGTTCTCCCAGCAAATCCTAACGACCGGCTTCAGGAGTCGGCTTTTAACTTACAGGCGGCAAATGGAAAACCGATCGCTACGTATGGCAAAAGGTACGTTTACCTTAACGTGGGTTTACGCAAACCCATCCACTGGATTTTCGTTATTGCAGATGTTTCTATGCCAATCATTGGTATGGACCTTCTACAACACCACAATCTGATCATCGACACTCGCAAACGGAGGCTAGTAGACGGAAACACTAATTTGTCCGTTTGCGTATCTTCTTTTACTGGTTGTAGAGTATCCCCAGTCACAGTTAAACATATGATAGACCCACTCTATCAACCACTACTCGATAAGTACCCTGGGATACAACAAACTCAACCGAAACTACCGTGTGTAACCAGCAACGTTACACATCACATCACGACTACAGGACCACCTGTATTCTCTAAAGCACGACGACTAGCTCCTGAAAAGCTAAGGTTAGCGAAAAACGAATTCGATCACATGATGGACTTAGGAATCATACGACCGTCAAGTAGCCCATATGCATCTCCGTTGCACATGGTCCCTAAAAAGGACAGCAACGATTGGCGTCCAACTGGTGACTATCGGCGATTGAACGCGAAAACCATTCCCGATCGTTACCCGTTGCCTCACATTCACGATTTGACAGCTACCTTGAAAGGTACAACTGTCTTTTCGAAAATTGACTTGGTTAAAGCGTATAACCAAATCCCTATGGCTACTGACGACATACCGAAAACAGCTATCATAACTCCTTTCGGACTCTATGAATTTTTGCGAATGCCTTTCGGTCTAAGGAATGCTGCTCAAACATTCCAAAGATTCATAGACGACGTTTTTCGAGGTCTCAACTTCGTACACGCGTATGTTGACGACTGTCTAATCGCAAGTCCGGACAGAGAAACACATCTCAAGCATCTGGATCTTGTTTTCGAACGACTTCAAAAACATGGCATAACTGTAAACGTTCAGAAATGCCAATTCGGAACCGACTCGTTAGACTTCCTAGGACACACTATCGATGCTCAAGGCATTCGACCTCTTAGGACCAAAGTGGCGGCCATTCTGGATTACCCAGAACCGACCACCGTCAAGCAATTACGCACGTTTAACGGCCTCGTAAGTTTCTATAGACGTTTCATACCCAAATGCGC